TCGGCCACTTCTACCATGTTCTCTTTGACAAAATGTTCAACAATAATTTGCAAGAATTTAGCCCTTGTAGCCTCAATTGGCAAAACATCATCCACTATCAGAATGTTATAACTAGGAGTGGAGGGCCTGCCATCACTCTCAAGACCAGATTGCTCTTCATCATGGAGAGCTTGCAATGAATTCCTATATGAATCATGTATGCAGTCCTAATAAGGTTTAGGATTGGGTTTTTTTTTATGCTAGGGATTAGAGAAAGAACTCAACATTTGTTGGGATTTACAACAAAACAATCCTAAGCTGAGGGGCTTTTCCTCTAACACAAAATCTTGGTTCTTAGATCTCTATCATCCCAATCTAAGGGGGCTCTAAGAATGAAAAATGCAAGAGTTTTAAGGGATTTCATGTTTGTGGCGTTTGATGAAACATTCTGTTTGCTTGCTCCTTGCTCCTACCTCGCATCGGTGAAGCTTGCTTTCTCTTCTTGTCCAAAGAAGGAAAAAGCTCTCCCCTTTTTTTAGGAGAGACAAAGCCTTTTCTTCTTCCAAGTGGGATGATGCTCTCCTTTTACAAAGGAAATGAAGTTTCTTTTTTTTTTCCATGAAGCTCCTACCAAAGCCTTCCTCACCCTTTTCTTAAGAGATATGATGAGAAAAGCAAAAAAAATCCTCACAGATTATGAAGAAGAAGCAAGGAAGAAGATAAAGAAGAAGATGGAGAAGTTCTCTCTAAGTTTTCTGAGATCTCCTCCCTTCCTTTTTTTTTTTTTGCTCGAATGACCAACCCCTCCTCTTCTCCTCTCTAATTTTTCTTTTCCAATGCTTCAAAAGTATCATCATTGTGTTTTTTTACTTTCCCAGGAAAATCTTGAGCTATCCCGAGGTAATCCTGCGAAAACAGCTGTCTATGGGGCTAAATTATGAAATCCCACACTACTTGGTGCCCCTAACACATGCACAGAGGCTGGGCACATATGCTCCCAACATTTTGTTTCAGCGCTTGATTTGGGTGCATATGCACACATGCTTTTGGTGCATAAATATTGTTCTCTCAGGTTGGAAGCATTAGAACAACCCAAATTTGGGCTCATAGGCACCTTCCCCATTGCTAAGCGGGTGCTTTGGCGCCTATGCACCCAAGTTTGGGTGAATGTGCACCCATAGCACAAGGGTGAGATGAGTTATTCCTCAAGCAAGGTCCCAAGGTTCGTGCTGGTAGGTTTTTATGCATTTTCAGATTTTATGGATTTGTAAGCTATGAAAAACCACGTATCACTTGAAATACATCCTCAAAAACTTAAAAATGAACATTTTAGATGTTTCACTTCAGAAATTTTAGTTTCAACATTCATTATAGACCCTCGCGCAGGTACACCGGTCTAAACCCTAATTTTTTTCCAGAACACTCTTAGGATTGTTTGATGAGCACCCTTGACCACGGGAAGTCTTAAACACCTGTAGTATGTCCTCCGGACACTATAACAGTCATCAATCTCGCTTTATATCAGGGGCTGATGCCGACAGATATCAATCACTTTCTTGCATGACCATAATGGGATGAACCCTTAACCTGGTGTTAGATGTACCCACTAAAACCTCTACAAATTCCTTGAGTGATGGGACACTATGTAAGAATACAATATGATACCATATTTCTCGGAAGGATGTCCAGTGTGTGTAGCATAAAAAATTAGTGCCAACAACCGTCACATCGTTAACACTATTGTTGATGCAACTATGTTGTTACCCATCATTATAGACTACATCACCATCGCACATTACCTCATATTTACTTAAAAGGAAAGAAGATAAAGACATATAACATAGCTCTCATGCCATGTTTTAAATCATAAAAAAGCTGCATTTTTATTTGGTTGAATTGAATGAAATATAAAATGATGCCTGTAAATAAGCAAAAAGGAGATAACAATGAAAAGGATATATATGATAAAACTTAAAAATATTCTCATAAAACTATTCTCAATAATTAGGATATATTACCACTGCAAATTTCTACTACAAATATCACATTCATAGACTAATAATTATGTGACAGTGAAAATTTATAGGAAAATTTACATACATGCCACATAAATCTTTTTTATTTACATACCTAACACCTAAACATTGATATTTAGATTAATTTCACTTGATCAATGCATCAAAAGGTGTATTTGAGTTTTAAATACTTAAAAATAAGGGTGTTTTTTTATATATATAAAAAGATTAGAGTGTTAGAAATGCAATAAATCAAAATTTAGGTTTTAGCTATGTAAATCCATAAAAATTGTGTGGTATATTTCTTAGGGTGCGTTTGGGGCGATGGTAGGTACCGGTGGTGTGCTGCATGCAATTTATTTTGTTTGGCAAAACAATGTTTTACTTGTTTTTTCAAATAAATGTCGTTGAAAGCTGCATTTTACGATCTGTCCTGGCTAAATGTGGCGGCTACTAGAAAGTTGTGCCAAACATATCTGTTTAAAGATGCAGTTGTGAAACAGCTGCAGAAGAAGCCGTTGTTCAAAAAATTGCGGTGTCTTTTAAATTTTTCTTTCTTTTTGAAAAAACCAGACATCAGCTTTCTAGCACCAACTGCAGGTAGCCAAGTATGGTGCGAAAACTTAGTTTTTAGCTGCAGTTTTTTTATAACACAATTAAAACACATATTTGCCAAATAGAAAAAATTATGATGTACCACCACACCACTGCCCTAAACATAGGGTTGTAAACGAGCAGAGCCTGGGGGAGCTCAGGGTCAGCTTGTGTTTGGTTCGTGTTCGAAATCGGCTGTGAACAGTGTATCCGTGTTCGGCTCAAATAATATTTTCCTGTTCGTGTTCGGCTCAAAATTGGCTCGTTAGAATATAAAATTATTAAAATATTATTTAATTTTTTAATATAAAATAAGAATTTTATGTAAATTTTTTCTAGAGCAAAATTGAGACAAAAACCCAAGATATTTATTAACTAAAAAAAAACTTTTGAAATTTATAATATTTAGTTTTATGAATATTTTTTATGTATTTATTTATCTATTTATTTTCGAGCCAATTCAAGCCGAACACGGACGAAAGTACTGTTTTTCGTGTTCGGCTCGTTAGGCTTAACGAACGAGCCTAGCACAAGCTACTTAACAAGTCGAACACAAGCTATTTGCGAACAACGAGCCAAATTGACATCCCTACCGAAACACACCCTAAATCCCCCATAATTTTGATATCCTCACTAAAATAAAGTTTGTGACATTACCTATTGTATTTTTATTGTCATATGGACTTAAGTTTGGGGCAAGGGCCCGTCGTTTGAATGTATTGATCTAGAAATTTGTAGGGCATGAACACTTCTTATCTAAGTTTTAAGCTAATAATGCACAATATACTTCAACATTTTTCTGTGATCCTTCGTTTTATAATATATATAATTAAAATGCAAATATTAGATAAATGATGCAAATTATGTAATTTTTAAACGCAAAAATTTCTAAATAAGGTTTATCAACTAACCAAATAACAGAAGCCTTTATGATATTATATCTCTCAAAGTTAGAATCCTCATATTGAGGGTTTGTTTGCAATACCTATAACTTCTTGAATAAATATTTGTGAAGCTGCTGTCAGGAGAAGCTGCTGTGAAGCTGTTATCATGAGATGCTGCTGTGAAGTTGCTGCTAGGAGAAACAGTTGCAGTTTGTTTGGATATTCCAGTTGTGAAATTGTTGTGCTACAGTGGTTACTGAATAAAAGATTATTTTGCCCATGCAGAATGTATTTGTTAGAGCATATTAGCAGAACTAGTTTAAATTGAACACCAGAAATAAATCTTCAAAATATTACAAAAAATTCAAAGTCTAAAATGTTACATTATAAATCGTACATCACTTGACATTTATGAATTACATAAAAATTGAAAATAAAATAAGAACAAGTAAAGTCATTATAATAGTAGTCTTCATATCGAAAGAATCAAACCTATGGGAGAATTTCTTTCTCAAAGCCACTCTCCATGTATTGTCGTTTTCTGAAGTAGATTTCACACAACCCATCTAAAAAAATCATAGGCATAGAATATCATTTGTCTTTTACAATTATAAAATATTCTCCCAAAACTAGCTTCTCATCTAGACCTATATACAAAGCATTGTAAATAGTAATGGTAATGCACAATTCTTGTGACACTAGAATTTCTTAAACTCATAGTTTCTAATAATACATATTTTAAGCTCAGAGCAATTAGAAAAAAACAAAAACATAAGACGTAAAGCAACTATAATATTATTCTTAAATAATAATCTAGGCCCAGAGCCAATAAACATGCTATTAATAATAAAAAACTCTACCCACGATTACCCAGTTGGCCATCTGAGCGGGAGCCATCAAAGCATGTTCATAGTTCAATAAAATAAAAGCAAGAAAATTTTTATTAATTAAATATGTATTGCAACAACTAAAATTGTTTTACTCTACTCAATAAAAGAAAAAAAAAATCCAAAAGACATCCCATAAGTCACTCAACATATTCCATCAACAAATCATATTACCGAAACATTGCAATATAGATTGTTCGAATGAATGTTTGAACTGGCTTTGAAAGCGTAAGAATACAAATAAAACATATAGAGTATAAGTTACATAAACAAAAAAAAAATGCTAATTGTTCGAATAAATGTTCAACATATCACAAACCAAATTTAAGCATAAATAACAAATATAGAGTTCACATGGACTGATTGTTTAAGAAAGAACAGAGGTAATGAATTCTATGCTACAACATCATCACGATAAAAGCCTCCCTCTTCATTGGGTCTTTAGGTTTTTTTTATAATTGATATAATGATATATCCTCAATTTTTTTAGGAGCGGGGTCAAGCAACTTAATGATGTGTCATAATAGGATATGTGTGAGCAGCTGTGTGAATATGGGATGTTATTCTGGTACAAGTTGTAACTAATTGTGAAATTTGTTTAGTTAAAAGTTGGGCACTTTTTTTATTTAGATTTCCGATCTAGCAGAGCACAACATTATTAATTACTTGATGCACTAGGCTCTACTTCCTGCGGTGATTCCTCTTGAATTTCATTTGAATGAATTTAGTCAGGCTCATCCAAATTTAGAGAAATGTCTTGTGTAATAGGCGAGACATTAGAGCTCGTAGCTATAATATCAAGAAATATATAAAATAAAGTTTCTCGTTGGTCTATGCTATAAAACCAAAGTTTTTTTTTGCGCTACCTGCAATGAGAAAATCATAGTTCAAATGGTATGAAAAATATGAAGAATTTATATAACAATGTTTTCTACTTACCAAAAGTTTTTCTCTCCACCACTCCTCAGACGCATCTATTATTTTCTTAATAAAATTGTAACTTAATCCATTTGCTGATTGTTTTAACTCATTCCATTGTTTCTCAGTTTTTTTCACTTGTTCTCATTTGCTCTTTAGTTGAGTTTTATCATACAATCAACTTATTTTTTCAAAGGCATTTTTTTATGTTTTTCCAACTCTCTTTATTATAATGTGTCGTTAGTCTGTTGTCTAATTCAGTCTCTTTTAAGCATGAAATCATAGAAAATAATCTTCAAGTCCTTCTTCCAAACGATCGATATACCACCTTCTTTTAATTTTCTCATATGTTGTGTTAAAAATATAAAAAAATTTGGAAAAAATTAACAAATTAAGCTTAAAAGCAAGAACTAGTAAGAAAATGTATATAAATTTAAATAAGACAAGCAACCAAAGCATGGCTCGTTGAGATCCTTTTGTTAAAAATTGTCCCATTCAGGACCGACAACTACATTTGATTATTATATATGTATAGAAACATGAGTTATAAGACCATATAATATTGTGTTTGTGAGTCATGTGGGTTATAAGACCAGATAGTATATGTGATTGACTACGACATCCAATGATAACAAATGGGTAAAAACAATTATATTAATAACAACTGGTGATCGATTGAGCTATTTGTTTTTCTTACCTCAGCACTCTACATAACATAGCCAAAGCAATGAGATCGAAACTCACATTACATATAATATATATCGTGCCATTACCTTATCAAAACCCTCATCACAAAACATCAATGAAAGAAAATTCCTCAACACATAAGAAATGCATATATTTTTTCATGTCATGTTAGAAAGACTAATTTTTCACAAAAATTAGCAAACATAGATGCTAGAATCACAAATGAAATAGTACTTAGGAAGTGAAATGACTGTGAGGAAGAGGAACAATTGTGTGAATGAATACGAATTGAGTCATTTGTATGTAAAGCTTCTAAATATATGTTAAAATATCACCCATCTAACTATAAAACCACCAATCGAAACAAAAATCAGTGCAATCCCACCGACTTCATAGCAACCCCATAATATTTCATAACAAAACCACCCAGTTCTTACATATTTACATACATAGCACAAAACTCTTATGTATTCACATATCTTTAATATCACAACAAGCACCCTTATGCACTTACATATATAGCACACAATTCTTAGGTGTTTATAAATCTCGCACCAAAATTGTCATCTTTATGCACATACCACTGAAATCATTAATAACAAGTATACAAGTGAAATTGCCAAAACGAAAATACACATTGCCATGCCTATGTAAGGTTTCATCCATGCAGACTTTAAGTTATATGTGTTACACATGTAAATGCATAAGCATTAAGTCGTATGTAAGTAAATATTCCAATTATATGGTAAACTACCACCAACCCATCTAAGGATTGTAGCTCTAACCACAATCACAACCACAACCACAACAACCCCACTAAATCCAAGCGCACACAGCTCTTATGCATTTACAAAGCTCGCATCTAAACTCTCCTCGTTACGAACATTAATTCAAATCACGAAATGTTGGTAATACCAACACATTTAACCTAAACCACCCACATAAACCATAACAAACTCACGAAATTGTTGATGTGAGACAATTCTTGAATGTAATATAGAAATGAAAAAAAATGTCATAAAAATACTAAGCTATTATGCCTTAATATGCATATCAAAGAACACTTATGTATACACATATATTTAATATCTAGCACACATCCACATACATGCCACACAATTTTGAAAAATTTACAAACCTCACATGTAAACTTTATCTTTACGCGCGAATCTCATAACTAAACCCGATTTACAAACCTCACATGTAAACTTTATCTTTACGCACGAATCTCATAACAACATTTTGAAGCAGATATGAAAGTGAAATAGCCAAAACTGAAATAAACCTTTAACAAAATTAAAGCACTCCCACCGAACCATAACAAGCCAACAAAATTTTGAAACAAAGAATCAATCCAAAATTTTCAAAGACATGGCTTGGAATGCACTCAATACAACTATAAAAACAAATAATTTAAAGCACGTAGACGATCACATTCCGAAAATACAGTGAAGAGGATGATAAGTCTCATCACATAAATCCTAAACACATAATATTTCGAAAACACATATATAAAGAATCAATGAAAATAACATATATGGGAAACAATTTCTACCAACAACCGAAAAAGAAACATTAAACAGTGGAGAAGATCGAAAGAGGAATAAATAAAAGGCAATCCATGCAATTACTCAGTTTGGGTGAGTGTGATGAGTTAATTCGAATTCAAGTCACGATTTCGAGCCTCCATGCCATTCTGGAAACCATGATTCCGACGACACAATTTTCCCAAAAGCCTCAAAAACAAACTCCCTGAACACACCTTTAGTGCTTTCCAACACGAAAAATAATGAAAAAATCATCCCAAATAGGGCTTAAAAAATTATAACGTGTGATTTAAGCCTAAATTTTTTCTTAACGGAGCTTAATGGTGCGGTGCTGTTTTTTATATTTTATATCCAAAAAATTTAAATTTAAAATAGAAATATGTATTAAATATTATTAATATAAATTAAAATATTATTAGGGCAAGCATTCGAGTCAGCACGAACAAGTCATAATAACAATAAAAAAAGAAAATTGAATTATGGAGAAAAAAAAATATTAAAGCCATGGAATAAGGAAACAACTTTTAATTTACAAAGAAAATGGATAGAAACGACAAATGAAGATTGGATTAATCCTAACGTCACCTCCTCCCAAGATCATTAAAGCATTTTAAAAATTCGATTTTGAAAAAACGAGATTTATCGGGAAAAATAAAAAAAAACAATTTGGATTGTAAAACGGGCTGAGGAGTCAAAGAAAGTCTGGATCTTAAGTGAGCTGCATCGGAGCTCAGATGTCCCTGTGTCTAGGGTTTTCCCTCTGCTGAGGGACCGATTGGGGATTCTCCGTCCAAAATCTCATCTTTTTCTATCCCGCGGATCGGAGAAGAAGCTCCATCTCCTCTATCGCCCTTATTCTTCTTTTAATACCCTTTCATGGCGATCTGAGCTGTTTTTTTTCTGGTGAGCGAAGGTCCAGGGGCCGTTTGGAAGCTACCTGCTATCTTCTGTCCGTGGTTATCGCTTGGATTTGTACTCCGCGGATTTCAGGGCGTTGCTTTTACTGTAAGGGTAGGAGTGGGAGAGCAGTCCTTGTCGACTTATCAGAATCCCTTTCTATTGGTAAAAGTCGTTTCTTTGTTATGCGGAGAAATTCAAAGATACTGTTTTTGATTGATTTTTTTTATTGGGTTTCTTTGTTTTTGTTGTTTGGCTTCAGGCTATGTTGCCCTGTGTGTGGTGGTGATGATGGTGGTGGTGGTGGATGGGGAGTAGGAAAAGTGGGCCTGGACTAACAGATGTTACAGAAACAGTAAGCCGGATGCCAAGCTTTCTTCCTTCAGCATCTGCGGCTCTTGCAATGTAATTTTTTTTCTTCTCTTTCGGTTTTCGTTTAGTGTTGGATTAAAATATGGTAGCTTTAAAAGTTTCTTACTCTTTGGTATTACATGTCACCCTTATTTGATTATCTTGGTTTTCTCTAAAAAAGTTTGGGGTGAATGTCTTTGTTCCATAATATCTGTATGCTAATCTGTTTATTTTTTTGCTGTTTTCATCCTACTATAACATTAATAGCTTATTTTGATATACTGATTACTGTTTTTTCTTTTTAAAAGCCTTTTATTTACGGATGATCTCCTAAGTATTTGATTAGGAGTTGTCTTGTTTAGCCCATTATGAAAGAATTTGTTGTTGGCATAGGAATTGCTGGAATGCATTCATTTTTGCGTCTTGTAATATGGCAGGATGCTTAATGCTTATGTAGAGAGTTATATCATGATTTGTTCATTTGGTTATAAAAAAGTTGGTTTATTTTGTCTTATGCAACTTTATTAAATTGCATTTTTATGATAATATATTTCATTGATGTATCTATTATATAAAGTTTTTGGTGGTAGACTTTAGAGGATGACTGTTATGTACAATAAGGATTTTTATAAACCCCGATTAGTCTGGTAATTCTATTGTCAGTTTACTTAATTCGAGCTGTATTCGAAAGTTGTACATAAAACTCCGTCATAATTTTGCAGACATGGGTTAGAAACATCGTCTACTTTTTATTTTGGATATTTTCTTCACATTTCTTCGTTCTGTGAATGAAAATGGCTGATAAGGAAGAAGTATGTATTTTGGGCGTAACTAAATATGTAATATATTTTTATTGTTATTATTACGTAAATTAACGGTGTTTGGTATATCAATTGTGATTATAGATTTGGTATAATTGTGAGTTTTGGGCTTCATTTGGTATAGCTTTATGTTAATTATTTTTGAAGTTGCATAAAAGCTAAATTGTCGCTCTTTAAGTTCGGTGGCTTCCTAAAAAATTTTTTCTTACAAATTTTAACTTTTATATCTTTTCATTTAAATATTTATTTATTTTGTTTATATAAGAATCATTAGGATTAGAAAGAATATTATATTGTGATTTTATGGAATTCAATATATATTCATTTCATTGCTGCATTTATTTGTCACCAAACAACCACTGCTTTTACAATTAGTTAGATAGACATTGATGAATGATTGAAGACTTCATATTACCTTAAGTTTTTGTTTACAATTTTCATTAGTGAGTTTGATTAATAATCACGATTGAACCTTGAACATATATGATTCGTTCTATGGAGAAAAATTTGGCATGGTAGAAAAATTTACTCAAAGGTGTCACAAAATGCTCATTTGAGGAAATTAAATGGATTTCAAAATTCTTAAATAGCATTATATTGTGACCACAATACACATCATCAGTAGGTTTGCTCTCATTACTTGGGCGATTTCATTTAAGATTACCAGTGAACTGACATGAAAAGGAAACTTGAATCAACACCCCTAGGTCCTTTTTTTTTATTTTACTAAAGACCAAAAGAAGTTGTACCTAGGGGCGAAACATCCATTTTTTTCTAGGGCGGGCAAAATCATCAATTTCTAATATTTTTTAAGTGTTGGGCAAAAAAATATATTAAGGAGGGACAAAATTACTAAATTGCTTAAGCTATATAAGAAAATTATAAAATTTTATTATATATATAGAAAAATCTCAAATTTCAGTTTGAGAGGGAGAGGGAAGGGGGGGAGGGCGAGGGGGGTGGCAATTGCCCACCCTTGACATAACCTCATTCCACTTCTGGGTCTGCCTTATAAATTATGAAAATCCTTCGTTATATAATAATATCATTATACTTGAATTCGTAACTATTGTCATTCATTTATTGCAAATGGCTGCATGTTAAATAGATGTGGCAATTGCTCACCCTACACATAACCTCATTCCACTCCTAGGTCTACCTTATACCTTCGTTACATAACAATATCATTATGCCAGGCACTTGAATTTGCAACTATTGTCATTCATTTATTGCAAATGGCTGTATGGTAAACAGATGTGGCAATTTTTAGAGTATGTATTGATCATGCAATTTTAATTTTATTTTCATGTCACCAAATTTTCAAACCAGGTGCTTCATATTTGAGCCATTTAAACTACAATACATCAAACAGACAATTGAAAAATGGTTATATCATGGCCATGCTTATAATAATCCATTATACCTGAAAGCATTGCTATAATACAATGAGAAGGTCCATCTTAACTTTTATTATTTTTTATTAAAAATATGATATTTTTTTATCGATCTGAATCAAAGAAAATTTTTGAGATAATGGAGAGCAGTTGTTTTTTAGTTGATGTTATGGTATCCTTTTTTATTTGCCTGAATATCCGGTTAGCATCCATACACACAGTTTGTTTTAAATACATTCCGCTCAATTCCTATGTATTTAGGAACACCTAAACTTTACTTTTTACATTTATATCACATAAAAAAAATATCATCATTTTAACTTTTAAAAAGTGAAATACACCTTTTTATGCATAGGTAAGGTGACATGTATGTAAAAATTGAATTTTTGGTGTTAGATATGTAAATACATAAGAATTGTGTGGTTTGTTTGTAAATTTTCCTTTTTTTTCCCTCTCTCTGGCTTTAATGTTATTTTTATTGTCCTACATCTTATAGTGGTGCCGAGGGAAATAGCATGCATGCATCAAGAATGTCAGCGTTTGGAGCATTTGACCAATCAAATGGTTTTGTTGTAAATGATGGTGCTGACCTAAGCAGAAGTATGTAATTTGTTTTACATTATTTAATTCAATTGTTATTTGTATATTATGTATTTTTGCTATTGTTAAGACTAAGCTATTTGTTTTATGTGTTTTAAACTCATTATATCTAATGCTTCTTGCCTTGGTAAAAGTCGCAATATTTGTTGAAATTCAAGAATCGCATGCAACTCTCTCATATCTTTTTATTGGAATGTAGCAATATTAGTCCAAATTTGAAACTTTTTTGCAACACACTCCAGTTTTGTTTAGAAATCAACTCGAGTCATTTCAAGTCAAGTTACAAGCAAGCAAAGACCTTGTCCCCAAAAAAAAAATTGAGGTGATTTTGAGCTTAGTGCAACTTTCTCCATGTTTGATTCAATGATTTATATTTATATGTACATAAGCATGATATTATGTTTGATATAAATTCAATTTTATTTTGTGTTTGAGGATTTTGTTTTCCATCATTTCATTTTTTTGTTGTAAATACAACAACAACAACAACAACAACAAAGCCTTAATCCCACTGCGTGGGGTCGGCTGCATGAATCCTTTTTCTCCATTGTGTCCTATTTAGTGTCATATTTTCATTTAGTTCTAGTAAGTTAAGATCATTTTTAATACAATAAGCGAAGTCTTCCTAGGTCTATCTCTGCCTTTCTTAACACAAGTCGAATCTAAAAGATCTACTCTCCTAATCAGATCATCAGATGGTCGATGTTTAATGTGACCAAACCATCTAAGATGACTTTCTCTAATTTTGTCTGTCACAGGAGCTACACCAACCCTATCACGAATATATTCATTCCGCATTTTGTCTCTAAGTGTAAAGCCACTCATCCACCTAATCATTCTCATCTCGACAACACCTAACTTATTATTATGCTTCTCTTTTAAAGGCCAACATTCAGCGCCATAGAGCATTGCAGGTCTCACCATCGTCTTATAAAATTTTCCTTTCAGTCTTAGCGGTACTTTTCTATCACACAAAAGACCCGAAGCATTCCTCCACTTCAACCAACCAACTTGAATTCTACTATTAACATCCCCATCTATATCACCATCGCTTTGGACAACGGACCCAAGATATCTAAATCGTTCACACCTTTTAATAATTTGATCACCCAAAGTCACACATCTGTCACTAGAGCTATTACTACTAAAATTACATTCCATGTATTCAGTTATAAAGAATGAATATATTCGTGAAAATCCAGGAAGTTTAATTATTAAAAGTACTAATCAAGCAATCAATAATTCAATTCTTGTATTTAATGTTCTTATTCTTATTGCAACTATCACGATCAAAAATGAAGAAAATCGAAGAACTGAATATTTACATAAAAAAACTGTACGCACGAATCTAAAGGAAATCCAAGGAGTCTCTCTTAAGAATATCAAAGAATAGTGTATTAGGGTATTCAAAAGACGAAATACTAAGTGTTGTTTCCTTCGGTCAAAACTGTAAGCCGACCAAACGGAAGCACAGTCGAACAAAGGAATGGAAAGAACCAGATCCAAGGGAAAATCCCAATTGATTATGAGAAATTTTTGTGATGCGTCTTAACCTATGTTCAATTACCTTCTCCCATAATTTTAAAGTATGACACCTCAACTTAATTTATCTATAATTTGCACACTCTTGTGCATCCCCTTTATTCTTAAAAATGGGGACCAAAATACTCTTCCTCCACTCCTCAGACATCTTTTTAGTTTTTAAAATAGTATTAAAGAGTTTAGTAAGCCAAGAAACTCCCAAATCTCCCAAATATTTCCACACTTCAATTGGGATATCATCAGGTCCTACAAACTTTTCACCCTTGGTTTTCTTTAAAGCCTCCTCAACTTTTTTTTTGCTAATGCGACGGTAAAAATGAAACGTTTTATTATTATTCACGATATTAAAATTATTAAGGTCAATCATATTTTCAGAAACTTCATTAAAAGGTTTATCAAAGTAACTCACCCACCTATGTTGAATATCTTTTTTAAGAAAAGTACTTTTTGATTTTTTTATTTATTCACCTCATATTCCTTTCCCTATTTCTCAAACAAATGAATATCTAGAGTTAACATCTTAAATTGCACTAATTTTATTTGTGTCTTTTAAGTTTCTCCATCTAATTCTGCAATGATGAGTCCTAGTATTTTTTATTTTACAACTCTTAATTTT